AGAGAGTCGTCGACTAGAGATGATACGCCGTCTCATGGCGGTCACTTCCTGTCAGCGTTACAGATCAGAAGCGCAGAGAGTCGTCGACTAGAGATGATACGCCGTCTCATGGCGGTCACTTCCTGTCAACGTTACAGATCAGAAGCACAGAGAGTCGTAGACTAGAGATGATACGCCGTCTCATGGAGGTCACTTCCTGTCAACGTTACAGATCAGAAGCACAGAGAGTCGTAGACTAGAGATGATACGCCGTCTCATGGCGGTCACTTCCTGTGACCTGGCAGCTTTTAACATCATTACACGTTGGCAGTATGTGTTTGTTTCAGCTCATCTCGTCATGAATATTCGGTCTGAACTTAACTGAATAAAAAATATGGTGAAGAAAGCTGAATATCATAAAAGGTACGAATAGTAGAAAAAAGTTGAATACAAGCACCAATGTATGACAGTCACAGGAGAGACTTTAATACTTTTAATATTTCAACTACATTTTACTGATTATCCTTTCTTTCACTGCAGTAACATGCAGAACTGGACTTGCTTGCGTTTCTTGAAGACGTTTTGCCTCTCATCAAAGAAGCCATCTACGTCAAGCTGGAACGACCATGGTTAAACAGAGGTGGTGGCTTACGACACCACTTATCCCCCACCTACAATGCAGTCCTGGGATCCCTCCCCAGACGACTTCACACCCATTCACCCCTGGTCCCACCTGACCCTAGCGACTCACATGGTGGCCAGGTGGGTCAACGACTCACATTGTGACCTTAACGGCTTTAAATCTAAGAGCTCACGTGACCCCTACAACTCTGTAAGGGTTCCCACCCACACAGAGTTTAAAGCCTGCAACTTCATACCAGTCAATTAGAACTGAAGAAGCTTCTTGGATGAGAAACTCAACCAAGTCCAGCTGCCTACGATACAGCACTTATGAATACCATGCCCTGGATGACTGAGAATCTTCACTGACAACTTGTAACACAGTATTTCTACATCATGGTATTAGTACTTTTACAAGATGTGAACACGTTCTCCACCTCTGTTGACGTCTCTCTCTGTCTCGTCTCTGCAGCGTCTCCACATCCAAACCTGGCTGGGAAACCCTGTCTGAAACTCAAAATCTACGTCAAACCAACCAGTGAGTCTCTTCTTCTGCTCTATCTTGTATTTTCTTTACATTAACATTTTATACTATCACGTTTTATAACATTTTTACTTTTTTATTTTTATAACTATGACTTTCTTGACTGAAATTTAAAAAAAAGGCTGTACGATAACTTTTTGTTGCCGTTTTTACAGCTTAATATACTGTCTTTCTTTATATTTTATAACATACTTTACTATGGCTTTGTTTTTACTTTTTCATAAAAACCTACATTATGACATTTTTTACTTTATTATGAAATACTATTCGATGACTTTTTTTACTTTTAACATACTACACTATGACATTTTTCAACATACTATGCTATGATTTTGTGTTCCTTTTAAAACCGTACAAAACTACGATTTTTTACTTTTTTACACCACACTGTAGTTTGACTTTTATATGTTTTTCATATCACACTATACTATGACTTTTTTTTTACTTTACGATGACATTTTTATCGCTTTCTATGACAACATACTATACTATGACGTTTTTTGATGATTAATGACGGCATGCTATACTATGACCTTTTTTCATGATTTTGGACGACATGCTATACTATGACGTTTTTTCATGATTAATGACGACATGCTATACTATGACGTT